TTCTCATGTCAGCTCTGCGTCCAGAAGACCTGCAGGTCCTGGCTCCCACCATTCACCTGGCTATCCATTGCCCTGGGCTCAAGAAGGAAACTGAGCCTGCACTGTCATGTGCCATCCCACACTCAGGTGTCACAGTTAGCTTCCTACCGCTTTCACAGCCCTCAGAGAGGCCTTCCCACCATACAACCCACTCACTCGGCTCACTGTTCCACCTGACAGATTCCTGCTGACAGTCATGAACTGCTGTAGACAGAAATAATTTTGCACACCCATCAACACGTGGCGGTAGCATGTGGTCTACCTGGTGAGTTCTAGGACAGCCAGGACAATCCCACACACACACACACACACACACACACACACACACACACACCACTGTCTGCCAGCTTCTGAGCAGGAGTTCCTAATGACCTGGAACTCCTAATCCCTTTGATTCCCTCTAAAGACTGGGACTGCAGGCTTGTACCAGCACACTTACATGTAGCAAATGATTACTGAGAAATTCCTTACTGTAGCCTTAAATACAGCACATCTTCCAAAGGATAGATATAATCTAAAGTTAAAATCAACAGTGTCAAGAACTATTTGTATTTAAACTATTTGTATCTTTGTTAACACATTTAGTATCCTCTAAAATGTCTTATAAGAAACAACTAGTGAGTAATATTAGCTGAATATAATTTTCACACATATATTTTATATGGGACATTCAGTGAAGCCAGATTTCTATTCAAACTCAATTTTATAAGGCAACTTTGTAAACTCAAAATCTATTGCTTTCTGTTGTAATTCACATTCCTGACAAATTCAGTTATGCCAAAGCTTAGCTAACAGGGAGCAGCTAAGGTGGACACACAGACACTGGATGGGAAAAGGGACGACAAGAATCAGAAACAGAGCAAACCCTGGCCCTGGTAGTTCACAATGGGGACAACTATGCACTGTCAGCCACAGCCAGGAGTCAGCAGCCAGAATAGACTCACCATGCTCTACGAAACGAGACAGCAACTGATTTCAGAAACTGTTAGCCCCAAACACTAATCTTGGAAACTGTAAAGCGCAGTCTTGAGAAAAAGGCCGCTGCCTTGGGGCCCTCTACCACTGAAGACACCTCAGGGCTGTTTGGGAAGGACTGAGTGTGACCGTGGATCAGGCTCCTTGGCAGCATCTCACACATGGGTTCTGGGATGTGCTAGTTCCTTTCCCTTAACTGGAAAGCTTGCTTTTGTGAAATATTAAACTCCTGATCACAATGAAAAAGGAAAAACTTACAGTATTTACTTTTAATTAATATATTAAAATAAGACAAATTAGATAAAAACATGATGTCTTAAATACATAATAGCAAATGCAATGGCTGTTTAAAATACTTTTTTGAATTTGGATAAACTGTTTTTGTCTTTGGAAATACCTAAGCACTTTTTCATGTGGAATTTGCCAAATACAGCTCACCACCTATACTGTCTCCCTTTCAGTTTATATATAAAACCAAACCGCTTAAAAAAATAATAGAAAAACAGAAACGATACCGAGTAGATAACTGCAACACTTTTTAAAAAAATATTTATTTATTTATTTATTTATTTATTTATTTATTTATTTATTTATTTATTATGTACAGTGTTCAGCCTCCATGTATGCCTGCAGGCCAGAAGAGGGCACCAGAACTCATTACAAATGTTTGTGAGCCACCATGTGGTTGCTGGGAATTGAACTCAGGACCTCCAGAAGAGCAGTCAATACTCTTAACCTCTGAGCCATCTCTCCAGCCCTAACTGTAACACTTTGATAAGAGTTGGTAGTCACTGTCTGCTTTTGCTTTTACATCTCCTAAAATGCCAAAGGGAATCCACTAAAATTAATAAAAGGCCAAGAGCTAATTGTAATAAAATGTAAGAATCACTGAAGCTGATCAGTCACATGTTGCACAGCCTAGTGCAGCAGAATTATGTCACTGGTATCAGGGAAATGGCTAACACTCACTTCCATGTGGGCTTTTGGATATGGAGCTAGGGAAATCACATCAGACAGGAGATCAGGCAATTTCCCCTTTAAATCAATCAATGGTAAATCACTGTACTCAACTTAGTATCTCAGGTGAGTCTGTCAAACACAAGCCTGGGGAAGGCACAGCGAGCCGAAGGCACATGGGCATTATGCAATGGTTCCAGCTGCAGTATACTATGTTCCTCACTACTGATAGTAATGCGAGCAGTAACACTGCCTGTGCGCATGCTCCTTACACTCTGATGAAAGAACCCATGTGACTTGACCTGTTAACATCACAGCTCTAGAGACACTGCAAGGAACCCCCTCAGCCCAGCTTCTAAACTTCCTATATTGCTTCAACTCTCACGAGGTTGTCAAAGACAACACCAATAGAACATCCACATTCTGCATGCTGTGCAGTTATATTCCTCCCAGATTCCACATCCATTTAAAAAGACTCTATCAAAAAACAAAACCAAGAAACAACAGGGTGAATTTCATAGTAATTCATGATTTTATTACTTAATTGACTAAAGCTAAAGATTACTAAAACAACAGACCAAATGGTCTTCAAATGTGTATCTGTAATTGACACACCTCAACAAAAACATTTTATGACACTTAATTCCATAAAAAGTCATTTTAAGTCTTAAATATATTTGACTAAATACATAACATAATATTTGGGGTTCTTGCTATTTTAGCATTGGCAAAGTAATATGGAAAATCAATTTCTAGGAAAATATATAAAATAACCAATAGTACTCAAGTCATTTATTTTACCTATTTGAAAATTAAAGTGAGCCTGAATTTTTAACTCGGTAACTAAATGAAGTTATAGGCCATGTCAACAGTATATAAATTTAACACTCACATGTGGGAACCCATGTGTGACTCAGTTTCCATTTGAAGTCATTGCTGACTTAAAGAAGTCATTTGAGTTCAATATTGCCCGCTATATTTGTTCCAAATATCCTTGAATACTGTGAGAAAGTTATGACTAAGGCCATAAAAGAAGAGCATTTTTGCCAAGATTTAAAAACAAAAAGCACATTATCTATTAAGATTTGGACTGTGTATGCCAGCTGGAGGCACTTCTCCTTATTGACTGGTAGCTGTTTGCTACTAGCTAAATTCTTGTATTGAGATAATGCACCGGCTTGAACTTCCTCCCAAGGATGGTGCAGGGAGGCTGCCAGCTGACTGTACTGCCCGTTGTTCTGCCTTTTGCCTGTAATTAGTATATATGCTGGCTGAGACATAAACTCGGGACTGTTGGGTACGAGCCTTCAGTCCTCCCAGTCTATCCTATGTGTCTGTCTTCATTTCTCTTAATCTAACATTTCCCCAGCAGCGCCCTCTCCCAGTGTACTCCCAGCTGATTTCTGCAGGAGTGGGCTCTGGCATGTACAAAAATAGTTTTAATTTCTCAAACTAATATTCAAAGTAAGCATTTAAGCAATGAATGAGCAACTCCAAAAATGACAATTCATTTTAACATACTGTGAAAGTGTCACCCTGATAGATAAATTTTATTTGGTTAAATAAAAATAAAATAAGTTGAATAGAAACAATTTTAAAGTCCAAAGGGACACTGGCTTTAGGCCACAAGAGCTGACACAGCACATCTCTTTGCTATTTCTCCAGCCCTCTCTGCAGACCACAGCGATACATTTAGATGCCTGTTAACTCACACAACAGATCTGAAATACTTTTCTAGTGGTTCCTCACTGTCATGCTTTTATAAAAAGCTAATTCTTTAGATAGAACGATGAAACTGTTGAGTGAATTTCTTCCTCTCAAAAGGCTACTATGTTCCATGAACATCAGAAGGGAATTAACATGGACATGTTGGCCCGCCTATAATCTACTACTAGGGAGGCTGAAGCATGTGCATCAGAAGTGTGAAGCCTCCTTGGGCTACATAGTCTTGTCTCATGTCTACATACACCTTGTCTCAAAAACAGACCCCAAACCCAAAGAGCTATGAACTGGTTCCAGACTCGAAAACCCTCAGCAAAATGCTCAAAAAACAAATCCATAAATACATAAAATTACACAAACTGATGGAGTGGAATTATCTCATGAACACAGAGGTTATTTTAATATCTGAATATTAATTAGCATGATATACTAGGTGAATTAATAGAATAAAAGACAACATATGGTCACAAAAAAAGTGGTAAGCAATATTCATCATGCTAACAACAAAAAGACTCAACAACGAGGTATGAGAGGTAATTTGCCAAATGTGATGACGACCACAGAACACTCATGGCTAGCTTCACACACATCTGTAAAACAACAAACATTTTCTCCTAAGTCCCGGCAACGTAGTGGGAGTGTCTGTACTCACAGCTCAAGTTCAAATGGAAAAAGTAGATATGGAAAAGAAACTAAAAGGCATTCAGATAGAAAGTAAATGAAGCTGTATGTATTTCCTGAAGATGGTACAACAAAAATTGCTAAGAAGTCAACCTGAGGACTCACTCAGTAAACGATCTCAGCAGTACTGTAACTTAAGATCACTTCACAAAACAGACATACTTCATAGAAAAAAATCAACTTACATACTTGAAGAATACAGAAAGAAAAGAAAATAATTCTATTTATGGTTTTTTGAAAAAAATAAATTAAGGCAAAGAAATAAGCTTACCAAGCACTAAGCATAGACTGTGGAAACTACAAGAGATGCTAAAAATATAAGCAAGTCAGCCGAGGAGAAGGGCACAGGGAAGAGAGATAGTGAAATACTGAAAACAAATGGGAAATAAGCCAAAGTAAATTGATCAAAACTGAAGTTATTTTAAAAATTACTCAAATAATGTGACATGACACCTCGGAAAGGAAGAAAAAGAAAAGTTATGCTTCCAACTGGCTACAATAGAGGCATCTTCCCTTGTTCTGATGTAAATTTTACAAAGCCAAAGGGTTTATTTATGCAAAGGGAAGCACCACCCACAGCCACAGCTCCACAGAATCACTTTCCCACTGGAGTTAACTATACTCACATCAACATCCTCTTCGGTAAAGGTTTCCGGGTCTTCTCCCATCATGTTGGCTAGGTGTCTCTTCCCTATGTTGAAGTCTTCAATCTGCTTTTTAATAAAATCCTCTGTATATGATTCCTGTCTTGAAGCTTGGACATTCTTCTTTGATGTTACAACTGTGGTATGGATTAGCTTCAATACCTAAGAAACAGAAATGGAAAGAAAAGAAAGTTTTTGAAATTAAACAGAGATTTAACAGGTCACCGTCTCTAAATAAAACATCCTCAGTCAACAGGCATTCAGGAAAAAAAAAGGCCTTCCAAACAAGGTGCTAGAACTAATAATCTCTGCTCAGAAACTTACAAGTCCATTAAGTCAGGAGAATCTCAATTCATCAGAGCTGAAATACCCACAAGCAGTATGCTGTGCCTCTTGACTGTAAATACCACTGTTGGTACTGTTAGGTCCACGACAGTAAGCTGTCACACTGAATGTATAAACAAGGAGAACATGACCACATAAAACAAAGAAACAAACATGCCAGGCATGGTGGCACACGACTTTAATCCCAGCACTCAGGAGGCAGAAGCAGGTGGATCTGGGTAAGTTTGAGGTGATCCTGGTCTACATAGTGAGTTCCAGACAGGGTAGTTATATAGAGAAATTCTGTTTCACAAAAAAAAAAAAAAAAAACATACAAAACCAGACAGTATGCCTTTAATTGGCACTCAATAGGCAGAGACATTTGCGGGTTGTGGTGGTGATGGTGGTAGTATCTGTGAGACCAGCCTGGTTTACTACAATCAGGCTTCCAAACAGCTAGGAATACATAAACAGAACTCTCAACAAACAAACAAACAGGCAACTGCATGAATCAAGCAGACAAGAGGACTGAGGACGGTACCATGGCCTTGTGGGCACTCCCCTTGTTTGAAGGAGAAACACAAAAGTGTAGGTTTGGCTGAGGGCTTTATTCTCCTCCCTATATATATACACCTTATATTATATATTAACTTATATATTATATAAATTTATATAATGAAGAAAATAACCCTATAAGAAAAGTATTTCATTCAACATTAAGATTTCTCGTCAACTTGGCTCAACATGCTAACTGTAAATGCAGGCTTTCCTGTTCTTTCTTGAGGCAGCAGCAATCACACTGGCTGTTGTTGGTCCTCCTATGCTACAGCACAACAAACTTCCTTCCAAGGTATCAACACTTCACCTTCAATGAACAGTGTCAAAGACAAAATAAGACAGACCTTTCTAGTCTTCACTTAAGACCTGAACTGAACCCTTTTATGGCTGCCCAGCAAATTTAAACACCACTAACAACATTCAGACTCCAAAGTCACAATCTTAGCAACACTCTGATTTCCTGCCTCACACACATCAAAAACCTCCTTCACACACAAAAGCCCAGCTCGCCTACATTCTCCCCCTTCCCTTCTAAGAATCTTAAATTCAAAACAACCTACAGTAATTTGCCACTAATGTTGCAACAAAAAAAACAAAAGAAAAAAATAGAGAAAACATTACAATACCCAATTAACAGTAAAACTTACATTCTGAACTGCCTCTGAATTAATCGGGTGAAAACTATTTTAACCCCAGTCTTTAATGGGTAAGAAACAGCAATTTAAAGTTCCTTAAAACCTTAATTTATTTTGCTAGGAGAACAGAGCTTCACCTTTGACAATTATATTCTCATACTGCAATGCTTTACAAAGTATTATCAACGAGTAAAAACAAGATCACCAGTGGCTTAGGGTCAGAGCAGTTCTTGTCTTGTTTTGCTTTTCCTGATTCAGTCATTTGAGGGTAGAAGGTGAATGTGATACAACTATTTTGAGATGGAGAGATAGCCACCTCACTTACACACTGCTAGAACTGCTGTATTTTATTATTAGTTACAGTTGTTAAAGCTCTTATTGTTCCTAATTCATAGGGTAAACTTTATTGTAGAAATGTAATGGGAAAAACACAACATATAAAAGGCTGGGAACTGGCTGTAGTTTTGAGCATCCAGTGAACTCAAAAGCATCAGCTGTTGGAAGGACAACCTACCAGAGTCAGCCTGTTTTAGAGACAGAGCCTATTTTAATAACGGTGCTCACAGTCCAGCTGCCGTTTCTCCAATCTAGGAGTTTTATTATCTAATGTGTTTAATAGTTGACAGAGTCTTTTAGCTGGTTGTTTTTATGATCCCAGGCCTATTTTCAGCAATGGAGAATCTTGCTTCTTATGTAGGCAACAATAATAATAATAACCAAACCAAAAACAACAAAAAAAACTTCTCTGCTTTAAAAATCTAGGCAAAAGCATGAATTTGGGGCCCAAAGTACAGCAATACAGTAGATCATTATTTCAATCGTCTCAATGCCAAAACGACCCATACACAGTACAAGCAGATGTTCTGACCATGGTGAGGACAGTGCACTCAACTGCAGTTGAACCCGCGATTCAAACCAACCCAGAAGACAGTCTCTTAGGTTACCCCTACTACACTTCCCAGCAGCCAGCATCACAGGCACCAGATCTGAGCCTTGGGTAAATAGGGTCCATGCTCTGCAGTGAAGGATTCTAGAGCAGGGGCACCATCAAGGAGAAATGTGACAATCCACCTGCAAGAAGACTGTGAGATGCCTTATGGACTCTGTGGATGCACACAGCAGAAATGTGAGACAGAGGGATGTATCTGTTAAAATTTAATGAAGTTGGGCATGATAACACACACCTTTAATTCCTATTTGCAGAAAGCTGCCAAGTCTGAGGCTAGCCTGAGTTATACAGTTAGAACCTGTCTCAAAATAAACAAAACTTGGATTGGAGAGACACTTCAGCAGTTAAGAGCACTTGTTGTTCTTCTAGAGTGTTGAGAGCTAAGCCGATCTTAGACTTTCCCCGACACCCTGGTGTATGGAGAAGGAACACAGCTCCTTTTCTAAGCCAGGAACATAATTGGCAGAGCCAGTCATAGCCTGGAACCAGGGCCTGGGGAGCTTATCTCTGAGACCCTGGTGTAAGGAAGAAACATAGTTCCTTCTCTGAAATCAGGAAGATACTTGGCCGAGCCAGTAATAGCCTGGGTCAGAGCTTGCGGGAGTTGTGGTTTCAGATCCTGAGAAGTCAACTCTTCTTACCCTGAGGGGCAATTGGTTATCTATCCAAATCCTTGAAATATTCCGCGTTCCCCTGTGCAACACTGTTCAATTAGCTTTCCGCTGACTTCTGTCCCATAGTTTGATGTTTTTTGGCTGACTCTGTCCCATTTCCCCCTACAAAATAGCATGTAAGAAGCTGTTCTTAATAAGCTTTCTTGGCATAAGACATAGCGTATGCAAGGCCTCCTGATCCCTAGCTTTTCTATGCCCTCACTCATCTTTTGATCTCCTGATCCTCTCTCACGTAACTGAAGACAGACCTGCTGGGCCAGGTCACAGAGGACACCCATACCAAGCAGCTCACAAGCCCCTGTAACTCTGGCTGCAGTGAACCTGACAGCCCCTCTGGCCACTTCAGGCACCCACATATATGGTATATACTCACACAGGCACATGAACAAAAATAAATCTTTTTAGCAAAGCCAAAACTGCTTGACAGACAATGTTCAAAAATCCTTGGGAATGGAAAATGGCAGGTATTAATTAACACTACAGAAATATAACTCTTTCATGTAAAGAAACACCTTATAGCCAAGGCAGAGAGGTAAAAATCATGTCTTATGACTACTGTTCTTGTGTGTGTGTGTGTGTGTGTGTGTGTGTGTGTGTGAAATAAACGAGATGGTCTGTCATGATTAAAGGGGAGGTATGATGAACCAAATACTTCCCTTTCAGAAGACAATGATACAGGGCTTTATGTGTAGTTAGAGAAACTACAATCAAGTATTCACACCGGTGTGAACCAGAGTTCTAACCACACTGCCTCTGTAATAATTTGTCAACCATTGCTTCCCATCGACTTGAATGCTGAGTAGCTGACGAGATCTGCATGCTACAGCACACATTACCCTTCAGAATTAACCTTGTAAACTTCCTGGGATATCAATGCCTATACTTTTCATTTAAATCCTAGGCCCTAGAGAGGGTGTATAAGTGTGTGTGTGTGTGTGTGTGTGTACGTACATACATGTGTGTAATCTGAGGTTTTAGGGAATGAAAATACCCTATTTACGTTGGTTTTAATAGCTGTGGTCTCATCATCCACCTTTACATTTTTTATGTTTCTATCCACTTAGGAAATTAGATGATACCACTCAGCTGTCCCCAAATCCTCTGAACTTGAGTCACAGCAACGATCTCTCCTGCATACATTAATTCCCCTGTTCTGTTCTGGCCCCTTGTTTCTACCTTCTGTGCAGTGCTTACACCTCCCTTCCTAAGTTCTTCTCAATGTCCGCAGTACCAGTTCTACTTCTGCAGTCACTTTCAATTTTTAGCTTTATTGCTGGTCTATCTTCAAACTCCACGCCTCAGTATCTTCCCTCAAGCATAGCTTGTCACGCCCCAACTCAGAGCGCTGTCCTTCACCTAAACTCTCTAACAATGTCCTTGATGATGTGAAATGGCTGTGGTAAAATGAGATTTTGTTTGTTTGTTTGTTTTTTGTTGTTGTTTTTTGGCCACCTCTTACTTAGAGAAGAACATCCCAAGCCCCTGGAGGGTAACTGAAACCACAGATAGCTTAAAAGCTCATGTACTATTTCCATATATGCTTAACTTCTAAAGAGTAGCACAGTAGATTAGCCGCAGTAATTTACAACAATGTGGACGTGTCTAACTAGATGCTGTGACAGAAAAAAATCCTATGAATGTGGTCTCAGTACTGAGAGTCAAGACAGATACTTGAGGACTGGAGCTGGCCACAAAGAGGGGAAGCCACAAAAGGGAAGGGCTGCTGTCGTGCATCCACCTGGTTACATGAGCATCTATTTGTGGCTCTTCATCTGGGCTGCTGTTCCTTTGCTGCTTTGGTTCCTACATCTTAGCATCTTCTCAAGTGAGAGAGTTGATTACTGACTTGAAGGTTTCTTTCCTCTCTTGATTTGTTTCTTCACTTGTCAATCATATTCTCTGGAGTTTGTGACATGAGATGACAGCTTTCCTAATTTTAATGTAAGTGAGGCCTAAATATATTTACAAAAGTTTTTACTGTTCATTTAAAAGACTTTTAGAGATGACCCTAATTTGAAACAT